AGGCCTGGCCCTGATTAAGGACAGAGTGATCCTAAGTGAGAATTCATTGAATGGGCAAATGAATCCTCAAAAAGAGCAGTCCGCCCCAGTCCTTTACGCTTCAGGCCCCAGGTACACAGCTGTAGCCACGTGCACATGCAAGTCCATGCTTGGCTGAAGACCTCAGAGTGTCACTGTCTTCTTTCTGAGGTGAAAGTCTCCTTTACTATTGCGGAAGAACACAGCTGTGGTCCTTTCACTCTTCTGTCTTTATGCTGACTCCATAAAGCCTTTGCAGGCCTGCAGAAAACAGATCCACATGAGAAGGCCGTGCCAGTCCTCTGCTTTAAAGTAGATTGTGATAGAGCAATTTTTCTCTCCGTGGGCGTCAAGTGCATACTTCAGGAGTTAGGATTTTAGACAGTTTGTTATCAGAATTCCTCATCTAAACACCGGGAGGGAGCCACATTCTAAAGGTGAATGGTTGTTTGTCCCTTTTCATATGAGGGCAGGTAGAAGTTTACAAGGTACACCATGCAGTGTGGAGCCATGATTGTGACTGTGGAACCAGGGCAGGACTCTAAAAGGAGAGGTTCAGCCTGTGACATCCAGTGCTTCTGTGGCTTGCTGTGTCCACTGCAGGGCACCCCCTTTCTCCAGGGAGTAACAAAACTGTTAGACCCTATAGGTATGTGCACAGCACAGTGTCATGGGGGTTAATGACTTGTCATCATGTGCGAACTAGCATTTATATGTTTAATATACAGAAGCCCAAGACTGAGCCAGGATCACATGCCTAGGAAGTACCAAGGCCTGGTCCACACCCTGCCTGCAAGCTTCACACTGGTGGTTCATAGGGTTTTTTTGTTGTTGTTTTTCCGAGGCACAAAAAAAGTTTAGTTTTTTCCTCTGTTGCCAAGAAAACCCAGGGTTTACACTTTATCTGGCCCTTGTGGGCAGGTAAAGTGACCACATATTGCAGAAACCAGCAATCTCCAGGCGGGTTCACCTATCTCTGCTGTTGCCCCTTGCTCAGAAAAAGACAGGAAATTTAGCTTTGACTTCATGCAGATGGGGACAGAACACCAGGCCACTCCCAAGCCATCCTGTGAGGTCCAGACAATGAGGAAATGTCAAGAGGCTGGTTGTGGTGGCCACCTGCAAAGGTGTAAGGTGAGGTCTCAGGATCCTCTGCCCTAGCCCTGCTCTCCCCGTGCAACCTGAAGCCCACTGACTGTCAGATGACATGTAGCAGCCCCTAGAGGATGGAGCATGCATTCTTTACTGCTTGGCAATAGGAAGAAGCTACTTTTCTGGTGATTTAGGATAGTTTTGTGCCTTTCTGTTTATTTCTTTTTTAATAGTAAGAATGATAGTAAAGTTTGTTAGGAAAGAAATTTAGTATAACAGTATAAAAGAGGAGAATGGGAAATAAAGAAGAAACATTTCCTGTTCCCCATGCAGGAAGTGGTAGACTCTCTTTCTGTGTATTTTTTTCTCCAAGATATTTACCAGTCAGTCCTGCCATTGTATTACCTGGCTGTGATAGCCATGTGATGGGCGGTGGGGAAGGGGACTTCTCTCTCTCCACTGTGCTTTCCAGCCTGAACTAGCTCATTGTTTGCAAACCTTTGTAATCCAGTCAACAACATTTCAGTAGTAGTTAGGGGCAGGCAGAGTGGCTCAGGTGGTAGAGTTGCCTGCCTAGCAAGGTAGCAAGCACGAGGCCCTGAGTTCAAACCTCAATATCGGCTATATATATATTTATATATATATATATTTATTTATATATATGGGTTGTTAATGGTTAGACTTTTCAGCCTTGAGCATTAGAAGGAATGGAAATAACTGGTGGGTTAGGAGCAGGCAGCCTGCTCTCTCAGGCTACAGCACATCCCTCCTCCCCCTTTCCTGAGGAACATTCCTACCTCAAGGCCTGGTTCTTCTCCTCACAGTCTTTGCACAAGTAGACACTCAGTGTTTACTTGTGTTTGCTGCTTAACTGCCTCAGAGTACTCTGCGCCTACCTTACCCATTAGCAGTGTCCTGGGCCATCTCCCCTTCAGTCCGTGAGAGGAAGGGAGGTGGTGACCCCAGGCAGCCTGCCTATGTTTGGGCTTTGTCTTGATCTGAGATGTTGTCAGGTACAAATGTTAGTGTCCTCCTGGATGTTTGGGGTGGGCTGGGGTAAGGGAGTAGCATCTTCTCCCCAGCCAAGGCCAGGCTTGTCTGGAAGAAGCAGGGTCTCAACTGGGGCACAGGAGCCTCTACTGGGAGGTGGTGAGACCAGGCACGTTTTAGTCCAGAGAGCAGAAGAGGCGCTGTAGCAGTAAGAGGAGGTTTGACTTCCTCCAGAAATGAGTGTGACCTCAAGTGAGATGCTGTCATTGGCCTCTCATGGAGAGCGCCACAGGTTACTAAAAAGCTTCCTGCACTGCTCTCTGTGCAAGGCAGACTCCTTGGCTCCTTCAGCAGCCACTTAGTCATGAGGTCTAGTCAGAGGCCTGGGAGAGGGAAATGGGGCTTTCAACTGGACTAGTTTTTAAAAAAAAAAAAAATTATATCTTCAGTGGACTTTTTCCTCTACATTCTGAACAAGGGGTCCTGCGTTTTCATTTTCTACTGGGCTCTGCAGACCATGTAGCTAGTCTATGCTGGCCCATTCTTCATTTGTCTTGCATACTTCCTTCCTGCTTCTTCTCTTACCCAAGTCTAGACTTATTTTCAGAAGTGTAGCACTTCACACAGAGCATTAGGAGACCTTTGGAGACCTTACCCAAATACCCACCAAAGCAGGACACCCCTTCTGTGCTGGTCAGAGCTGACTTTTGTAATCCCATTGACCTTCTGTGGCCTAGGCAGGTGTCCAGGCCGCTGTGAGCTGCAGCCACTGTAATGCTGCACCTTAGCACAGTGCTAGAGCCCTGGCCTAGCATATGTGGGGCCCTGGGCTCCTCCCCCAACATTGCAAAAACAAGACAATGGAAAAAAAAAATACAGGATGACTGCATGCATTAAGAGATACTGCTTACAGGGTGCCTGGGGCAAGGTTTTCTGTCCCTGCCTTCTCTGCTGCCTGCATACTACCTTGGACAAGCCACTCCGCCTTCCAGGTCCCACTTTCTTCCATATGGGGCCCATTGCTCAGGTTGGCTACTTCCTGAGATTCAGATGAGATTAGAAAGGCATTGGAACATGCATGCATAGCTGTCTGTGCGGCTCTTTAATCAGCAATAATTGTCAGGCACCACTTATTTGAAGGTGCCTTCATAACATCATAAGAACCCCTGAGACAGGGAGAATTCAGACCAGGACTAAGAGTTTGGGGAGGACCCTGGGCAGTTGTACCCTTCATTCCTGAGTCAGACACAGTACACTGGTCATAGCCAGTTTATACCAACCACCTTCCCCTCTAAGTCCTGGCAGGTTTCCATCACTGTGCTTTAATCTGGCCTCTTTTGCCACAGCAGTTTGTAACAATGTCTCTGGATCAGATTGGAGGAGCTGGTTAAGGGGGAAATGATCTATGAAACCACTGCTCTCAGAGATGGTACCCTTCAGCAGGCTCATGTGGAGAGTAGGGGCTGCCAGAGGCCAGTGTTCTGTGCACACGCAGCCAAGAGTGAGAAAATGTGCTTGGATGATGAAGCTGGTGTGGAATCAGCCCCATGCTGCTGTGAAGAGACCACCTACAGCTGTGAGGTTAGATGAAGCTGATGTCCCCAGAAAGCCTGGCTATCCAGCTTGGCCTGGTCCTCACTGGCTGCATGAACACATCCTTACAACTCTGAGCCTCTGTCTTCCTCATCCCTGCCTGCTCCTTGTCTCTGAACTTGGTCCCCACTTGGTGTTAGGACCTACCAGTTTGTAAACTGCAAAACTCCATAGGTCTGTGAATAATGTTGGTAATGTTGTGTAGATCACTTATTCTTGGGAGGGACAGAAAGTACTACGCAGGCTGGGTCTTTGCCTTAAATGATGAAGTCCGTTTGTCAGTCACTCGCAGTGCAGTTAAAGGTGACATGAAATAAATAGTGAGATGTGAAATATGAAGTGTTAGGGAACTGCTGTTTTTTCCATATGTAGTATTTACATAAAGTGTGTGAATTACCAAAATTTAAGTATGTAATTTCATTTTCAAACCAGTTATTGTAAATAAGGGTAAAGACTACACACCAGCTGAGTTGCAGTAGAATAAAGCGTTCTGGGTATGCTTCTCGTGAGTTGCAAATACCTTTCATTTAGATAGGAATTAAGGGGCCTCTTGAAAGAAAGTCAAGATGACTGTCAGAGGAGTGTGGGAGTACACAGCCCAGTATTAAAATTACTGTTTATCTGCTAGGCTGGGAGTCGAGACCACTGCGATCGGCAACATAGTGCTAAAGCATGGCTGTGTTCCCCTTGCTTTTTGTCATCCATGTAGATGTCAGTATTTTGAGCAGGGCTCTCTGCCATTGAGATTCACAGTGGCTTCAAGGATCTTTTTGTTATTGTTTATTTTGTGTTTTGAGACAGGGTCTCATTATGTAGCCCAAGGTGGCCTGGAAATCAGGATCCTCCTGCCTTACTCAGCTTCTCCAGTGATGGGATTGTAGGAATGTACCACTATGTTCAGCTTGAGAATCTTTTCTAAGTGTTTGATAAACAATGGAGAATGAGTTAACATTTTTAAAAACAGTGTTTTTTAAGCCTCATTGGTTGTCACCCACCTCCAGCAGTCTATATTGTCATCACAGTCAGGCCTGGGAGAGGCCTAAGTGTATGAAGTAGATTATAAATTATGTCACAAGCCCAGGCGTGACCACAAGGGGACAACCATCTGCAGCTGGTGGGTCAGATTGGGGGACCCATAAAAGACGCTGGGTAGGTCTTGGGACAGGGCCCTGCAACATGCTCTGGTTTCTCCACAGCTCACCCTGCCTGCAGTTCAGTTTTGTGTTTTGGAGGTCACTGGATTTGCACACCTCCCGAGATAATTACAGCTTGTATGGCTTACCTCTTTTTTCTTTCTTTTTCTTTAGAATATTGACATCACAAACTTCAGCAGCAGTTGGAATGATGGTCTGGCTTTCTGTGCACTCCTGCACACATATCTTCCAGCCCACATTCCATATCAAGAACTGAACAGCCAAGATAAGGTAAGACAGGCCACATAGCGCTGGCTCACAGGGAGAGGCTGGTGTGAACTAGGGTCCACGCCTCCACTAGTGGCTCATGCCCCATGTCACTCTCATGACAACCCACTCTCATTCTGGGATTGGCCATTTGTGCTTAGCCAGCTGGTCCCCAACTCATCCTGTGTGGATGTGCGGCTGATGGAGAATTCTATACGTGATGCCTTTCCCAGTGGGAGCTGTCAGTTCCTCCTGGGTGACGCCACTTAGGATCAAGGGCTTCAAGGAGTAGTCAGGCAAGGCTATTGATGGCACGAGAGTCGGGCCAGCTCCTGTCACTTCAGTATCAGGGCTATCACTCATGGCCTGTTCTGCACTATTGTTCTCAGAAGTGATAAGAAACACCAACCTCTATAGCCATGGTTTGGGGCATCCCATTAGGGATGCATCAGGGTCAGGGGACAGGCCCAGAGCCCCTGCACTGGTCTCCCACATGGCAGCCCCAGACCTACAGACCACCCTTGACGATCCCCCACGAGGAGAAAACCATCTTGGTAGGTGTGTGTTTCTAACTTTTTGGGTACAGATTCAGACAGCTCAGGGCCCATGTATTGGAAGTGGGCCTTTCTTTTTGAGGAAAGAACAAGTGGATGGCCCCACAGGTGGCTGGACAAGAGGGTGGCAGGATCCACCAAGGAAGTCTGTGAGGTACTTGGTTAGTCCTGAGGCTTCAACATAAATTTATTTTAGTCCCAAATGCAGGTGAGGGTACATCCTTTGCATAACCTTTCTTGCATTGTCCATACTCTGCAGCAATGTGATTTCTTTTGCAGAAAAGGAACTTCACACTGGCCTTCCAGGCAGCTGAAAGTGTCGGCATCAAATCCACCCTGGTGAGTCCCCACCCACGGGAGTCACTAATAGAGCTCCTGGTTAGGAGGAATGTGGTCACTGGGTGGGGTGGCCACCAGATAGTAAGGGTCCTCTGTGGGTTAGGTTGGGTGAGTGTCCCCTCAGGTAGCTGGTTGCTTATGGGGATCTCAGGTGTTGCCCAGGATGCTTTCTGCCTGGGGACTTGCCCGAAGGCACCAAGTGGGTGGGTGGCTCCTGACCCCAGGCCCTGGCAGGCCTCGCGTGGGACTGTTCCTTACGTTTGTCTCTTCCTTAACAGAATCTTTGGGTTCAGGAAAAAAGTCACACATTTATAAATGTCATTGTCAAAGGCACCTTGCACAGACCCATGTGCCTTTTGTCAATGCAGAGGGAGAAAACAGGGAACATCCTGAGTACTGCAGCATCACACAGACCATCACGCACAGCTCAGGACTTTCCACAAAGGAAGGGCCCCATGGGACCAGGTCAGGTCACAGAACATTCTTTAGGACTCTCACAGCCATCGTCCATCCCTGGGTACCCCTCACCCCAACTTGTAAAACTTCATGGGCCTTGAGGAAGTGTTTATACACTCATAATTGTATGAGAAGAGTTTTCATATCACAGATGTGTCTTCAAAATGCATAGAAATGTGGGCTGGCAGAGTGGCTCAAGTAGTAGAGAGCCTGTCTACAAAGCTCAAGGCCCTGAGTTGAAAACCCAGTACCACCAAAAATGCATAGAAATGTGCTTTCTTGTGGTGGCTTCTATTCAGCTGTATAGGGAGAGAGATTCTGTAGTTATTGTAATATATGCCTATTACTGGACATTTTATATCATATATGGAAAGTTCTCATATATTAAAAAGTTGAAGTTTCCCCACTTCAAGAGCTTTATGGTCAAGATTCTTTTTTTTTTTTTTAATTAGGGTACATTCATCATACAGAGGGGTTTCATTATAATTTCGATATATACATATAATGTACTTTGATTAAATTCATCCTCTCGGCCAGGCCCCTGTGTCCTATAATCCTAGCTACTCAGAAGGCAAAGAACAGGAGAATTGTGGTTCAAATCCAGCCAGGGCAAATAGTTCTTGAGATCCTATCTCAAAAAATCTCTTTACAAAAAAGGGCTGGTGGAGTGGCTCAAGGTGTAGGCCCTGAGTTCAAGCCCCAGTACTACAAAAATAAAATAATAATAATAAAATTTACCCCCCATTACTCTTTCTTATCCCCCCTTTTAAAACAGGGTTATAGGCATGAGCCACTGGTGCCTGGTTCATTTTCCTTATGACTGAATAATACTCTATTGTGTATATAAACCACATTTTCTTTATCTGTTCATCAGTTGATGGACACCTAGGCTGATTCCATAGGTTGGCTATTGTGAACATGAGTGTCTTATATGCTGTTACAGTCAAGATTCTTGCATTGATCAAACAGGCTTCTATTTTCTAAACTTACTACTCGGGGTGGCTTTCCCCATCCTGTGTGCAAATTCTGGGCTCCTTGTCTGTGGAAGGGTCCTCAGACAGGCCACCCTTGTCCTTCAGCGGCAGGCATATGTTACGGGCTCTGAGACACCGGGCTGGGGAGTGGATCAGTCTACAGTTTCCCATGTTTGTCTTCCTACATGATCAGTTCACATCACACAGGTCATTGGTATTCTGAAGAGTACAAGTAAAGAACAGGGTCTTTGTTGATTTCTGACTTGTCATGGTGAGGGTCATCAGGGTTGGTGCTGGGAGCCCTGATAACAAGTGCCTGGGGCTAAGAAAGGATCTCAGAAGCGTCCCATAGAGAATGGCCTGAAAGGGGGGCAGGGGCAGACCCAGTAAAAGCCTTCCAGCCTTAGTAACCTGTGGCAGGAGTGGGGAGGAGACCTGTGTGTGGCATAGGGGCAGGTGGCTCAAGGATGGTGTTGGTGCTCACTCAGGCAGATGGCACTGGTAGAGGTGGAGAAGGTGTTTAGGATCAGGCCTCTGAAAGGGGTAATCAGGCTTGGAATAGAAATCTTCCACTGTTCTGTGACAAGGGATCTGTGGGAATGGGCCAGGAGACGCCCTGCAGCCCTAATCAGTTCTCTTCTCTCTGCCAGGACATTAATGAAATGGCTCGGACCGAGAGGCCGGATTGGCAAAATGTGATGCTGTACGTGACGGCCATCTACAAGTACTTTGAAACCTGAGCGCACTGGAGGAGCTACCACTAACTGGGGACCTCTGTGGTCACCAAGAGACACCAGTGCCCTTAGCTGTTTATCCCTAAAGCTTTCAGTGACTCTGGGTTGCTCTGCAGCATGGGAGCCTCAGCCTGGGGCCTCTGCATTGGGAGAACTCCGGCCATGTGGCCTGCATCACAGACCAGGGCTCCTCCGTGTGTCCCATCCACCCAGAATGTGTGGCTGTAGCTCGCAACTGGCCTCCTTCTGAAGAGAGTGTCAAACTCCATTAGTGCCCTGGGGATAAAATCAAAAAGGCTGCTGCCCAGCAACACTTGGGAAATTGGATTAAATTATGGGGTCCCAGGGATTGGTGAAAGCTTTAGCCACAGCTTCTCAGCTGTCACTACGTGGGTCCCCTTGCTGGTGAGGAGGAAATTGGGTGCCTGGTAGGTATCTGCTTCCACACTGGGGTGAAGCTGGCCTTGGCCCATTACATGCCACAACAGAAGTGAGACAGTCAACCTTTCCATGTACAGGGCTGTCCTGGCCTCTGCAGTTTAGGAGTTTCAGCTTGAGTCAAGAGAGTATCGAGACCCTGGCTTGTAGGCCTGCAGCTGGGTGGTTCCACTCTGCAACCAGCTTCTGTCAGCAGGCAGGGCCCTCGCCTGGTGCTTGGCCACCTGTCTCTAGCCCCAGAAAGACTGGTCACAAAGAGTTTCACTAGTTAAATTTTGTTTTATTTTAAGTAATATTTGGAAAAAATAGCTCCTGTTCTATTAGTACCAAAGTTAAATTGTTTTAATAGGCATAGGAATAAAACAAAATCTGATGTTACTATGATACAGCAAGGATCTATAAAGTAGAAAGTAGCTGGAGGAAAAGGACAAGCTGTAAGGAACCAGAGTCAGTCAGTCACAACTTGGTTGTTGAGATATACTCCTCCTCGGCAGGAATTAAGATAATGCCTTAGTTCTCATGTCAGGATGGTCACCCTCCATGCTGTGCCTGCCCTCCACAGGTGCTGGGCCTGCTCAAAGCCGTGCTTGTAGGTGGTTTGTTGATGGCTTTCAGGCTGAGATTAAAAATGGTTTGGGGAGCAGAGAGCCTGTGTCATATGTGTCCCTGGCACATTATCTGTTGTTCAAACAGTGTCAAGATCTGTATAATGTTTGGTACCTGTATGCTACTGTGAGGAAGACTGGCCACCAGTGGAAGCAGATTCATAGCTCCACCAACCAGATGGATGCAGAGTGGAGGCTCCCAGGAGACCCACAAAGTCCAAACATGGGCTAAGAATTTTCATCCAATCATCATGTTTTAGACTGGGGTCTGACACATCTGCAGAGCCTAGAAAAGGAAGTGATTATTAGGAAGTAGGCTGTGCCATGTACGTGAGACTGTGACACGTGGTTAGCAAGTGACTGGTTGCTGGCCATCCACCCTGCCTAAATGTCCTAACCTGGCAGCTAAGGCTGCCCTTGACTCGGCGGGGCTCTTGGTGAATGCCCATTTTCAGCTAAAGGAAGGCCAGATGGGCAGCAACAAGCTTAGGAGAACACCAGGAGGCCCCTGATGCCCCTCTTGCATGCCAGGCAGGTCCTCTCTGGCCAAGTTCTGATCTTGTCCTATTGCTCTGCTTGCAGTTGGCGATCAGCCATGCTGGCTGTTTGTGTGAAGATCATGGTTTCCAAATGTCATTACTTAATTTTTTTGAGCTCCCACCTCTTGCTTCCATTTGACATCAGGGAGGCTGGTTATGTTTTTGTGTATTTATTATGTCATGGGGAGTAGTAGAAGGGGGTTGTCCTAAGCCTGCAGTTCATTTCTTTGTTCCTTGCTGGCCATGTGGGCCCAGCCCTGGCAGCTCATGCTGGAGGGGAGAGAGGGGTGGCTGCAGTCCCTGCAGTTTCCTGGAAGGTTTTTGAAGAAGGAGCTACAATGGTCTGTGTCCCCATCAATGGCATTTCTGTTCTGGAATTGAGGGCCCAACATAGAACTGGGGACAGCAGCAGGGGTAGAGGGTGGGCTTGGAGAGGGCTATCCTGGCCGTGCTTGTCTGGAGTCCACCCTTGACTCCATTCCCAGTAGGGTTCAGGCCGTTCACATTTGCATGAGGGTCCACAGGTTTGAAGACTCCAGAGCATCACTTCCTGCCCTTTATAATAGGACCCCACAGTGCTGTCTGCTCTGCGGGCCTGTCAAGGCCATACATGTTTAATAGTGATATTTGGAGGTGCTCTTGTTCCCGGGGTGCCTACTGTGAAGCCTCCAGGAATCATTTCTGCCTCTTCCTTCAAGCACAAGCTTTACTGCAAAAGGGCCAGTTACCTTTCTGTTTCTCTGGATCACAGGCTTCTGCTGACTGGCAATATTTTGTTATTTTGTTTCAATAAATATTCTTGAATGTATTAAATTGTTAAAATGAGCCAGGCTTGGATTTTATCATTTGCCCTCACTCCCTGCTGCCTCTCTAACATTAGGCAAAGAAGTCACCTGAGAAGACACCTGGAATCCAGGCTCGGCCCTTCCATCACACTGGAGGCTGAGCGTGAGGAAGGCATTTGTGTACTTGCGGCAAGTGCCAAGTATATCCAGAGGTTCCGGGCTGCTGTGGTACCATGTGGATTCTGTGACAGCTCTGAGACCCCAGAAGCATCAGCAGAGCTGCAGCTTCCACCAGGAGTCTCAGGGGTTTTTGTTGTTTTACATATCTCTTAAAAATGACTTCCAGGATGTATAAAATTACTGAGACACCAAAAAAAAAAATCAAAAAATGTACTACTCAGAAGCAATCTGTAAGCTTTTGATTCTGTCCATATTTTTTCCTTCAGTGCTGGGTGTGGAACTCAGGCCCTGCACTGCTGTACCGCTGAGCAACACCCTCAGCTCCTTCTGTGTCTGTGTGCAGCGATTTTGAATTCAGAGATCAGCCCAGATAACACTTCTGTCACCTTGCACATGTCACATTGGTGGGGGGAGGTTCTGGGGGCCACCACCTGCACATTGGGGAAACCCATGGTGACCACCCTCCCTGGGCCTGAGAATCCCCAGGGTCAGTGGTCCTTACAGGGAGGCTGAGACCACACAGCCTGAGTTGGGGTATGCCTGAGTGCTTGTGAGCCCTGACCTCCAGTGGCACTAGCAGCCATGGGGGACCAGGGGGACCAGGCAGGGCCCTGGCTTCAGAATCAGAGCTGGGGGCATGAGGCAGGACTTGACTCCAACTCCTCCCACTCACCAAATACTGGACCTGTGTCCTCTGCTGAGGTGGTCAGCAAGTGCTGCCCACTGCACAGCATGGGAAGTGCTGCCCCCACCCCCCCAGCGCACCTGGGTCTGTCCTAGGGACAGCATGGGCCCTTCTAGCAGCTGCCTTGAGAGAGAGGTACCCCCAGATCCTGTCCATTGTGCTGTCTCAGAAGCAGACTCTGAAGCCATCTAAGGGGCCCTTTGGTGCCCAGCTCACCTGCCTGAAGCCTGCAGGGCCCAGACCAGCCCCTGGCTTAGAGCTTGCACACCAGATCCACTTTGACTTAGGGAAGGTTCCAGGACTTCTTTGTGGGGCAGCTTTGATGTGTGGGAAGAGGAAACAGTTTCTTGGGAGAGGAGGAATCCAGAAAAGTCTACTCAGAGTCCCCCTACCAATCATCACTCTCAAGGGACTAGGATTTGGGCATGGACAGGTGTGCCACAGGCCCTGATGGCACCCAGTGGCCAACTCTGACCCCATGCTGACAGGGCTTGCCACGACTGTAGGGTTGTGAACTGTTTCAGGTTGTCCCTTCACTGGGGACAGTGACATAACGGGTCTTGATATTCAGCCACCATGCTCAGGGTCAAAGGTGAGGGGTGGCGTTCTCATTGCTGGCGAGAGCTCCGTCTCCTAATAGGTCAGGGCTTCAGTGAGGGCCAGGTCGGGCAGGAATGAGAGGAGACCGTAATCCCTCATGGAAAGGGGGTGGGGGTAAGGATGGGTGGGAGGCATGCGGAGAGCTGGCTGACCATCCCAACCACACCCTGTCCAGAGCAAGACCTGGTCCTTGATCCTAGGAGACCCCTAAAGGGGTCTATAGGGCCCCGTATATGAAGAGGAGACAGAAAGGGATCTGAAACCTTGGGAGCTGGAGACAACTACCTGTTGGGCTCTGCAAAGAAAGGCAAAAGCACCTGAGTGGAGTCAGGACACCAATTTCCTCCCACAGTGGGCTACCAGCATTTGAGACATGCTGGGGCTATTCTCTGAGAAGTGAAGACCCCAGGCCTCCCCTGCCGGGCATCCTCCAGACAGCCAGAAGCAGATAAAGGGTAGAACATCTTCCCACAGGGTTGAGGTGGAGGAGGAAGGGGCTGCCTCTGTGTGTACTGGGTGACTGCCTCTGGCGTGATTCTGTTACCGGCAAACAATGTTTTCAGATCTTGGTTCTTACGTTCCAAATGGAAGAAGCCAAGCAGAACACATGCGTGGGGTGAGGTAGAATAGCTTTATTGAGGGAAGGGGGGTCACCGGTTCCACCAGGTGAGGGGAGGGAAGAAGGGCTGGGGTCTCTTGCTAGGTCGTTTTTATACCACCTTGCACTTGGAGGTGGGGAGACATGACCTCACCTGGCTCCTTTCACCTGTGTGCTAGGGAGAGGAGCTCTTGAGGCAAGATGGGGAGCAGTCCCAGAGGCTCCCTAATCTAAGCCTGCCTCAAACTCCTCACTTTATTTGGAATGCAAGAACCAAGAAACACCGTCTATAACAATCCCAGCTTCCTTCAAACTGACAAACTGGAGCCCTGTGACGTTCTGGCTCACAAGAGGAAAAGTTGAGCACCCTGGGCTTGGGGTGGTCTGGTTGGAGATCAGGGACCCTGGCCCAGTGCCTACTAGGTGCATGGTCCTAGTCCTGGTAGGTCTTGCTCCCTGATGTGGCTAAGCTAGCCCCAGAGCAAACAATGAAGGCCAGAGGCCACCCAGGTGCATCCTGGGCAGGAACAAAGGACTGCGGGGGTGGGGTGGGGGCCTGTCCTCTGAGAATGGAATTCAAAATTTGGGAGCAGGAGAGGGCCCAGCTGGCCCCACTGTGTAGCCCGAGGAGACAGGACCTGGACGGGACGGAAGGAAGGGCGGGTGCCTGCAGCCTTCAAAGCCTGCCTGGGGCTGGGCAGGGAATCCAAGGCACAGAGCTAGAATGCTGTGGGGCTGACGGGCCCCATACTCACAAAGGGCCAGTGGCTGTGCTCAGTTCAGGCCTGTGCTCTTCACCTTTGAAGCTCCCATGGGTAGACCAGGCCCCAGTCCCTGTATTGCCTCAGCACCCAAGGAAAGGTCTTGTGGCTGGTAATGGGGGACGGTCAGGCCAAGACAGGAGGGGACTTGTTTAGAGAGCGTGGCAGCACAGGGTTCCCAGGAGGGTCTAGAGGAGCAGGCACAGGAGCCCCTGGGGAGGCGGGGTGTGAACAGGCCTCCCTCATGCCATGCTCATCCCTACTGAAGTGCAGGGACCAGAGTGTGCCCCAACTCTGGGCAACAGCTTCACAAGGTGCCAGGGCACCTTGATAGATGACTCAGGACCAATGGGACAGTGCTCTGCCTCCCTTTAACAGACTGGCCACTCACCGCTTCCTTGGTACTGGCTCCTCATAGCTGTTCTGGGGCCTATGAGGCTGGTTCTGAAGCTAGAGCCAAGCCAGGCCTTATCTGACCACCCTGGCCTCAGGACACAGCTTTCCCCCTGTGCTGGGCACCATGTTGAGGGATGGGGTCCCCTAGAACCTAGGGATGAGCTCTGAGGTCACAGACTCTGTGACCCTGAGGACCAGTGTCAGAATGAAGCCCTCACTTCACATGGGGAGTCTAGTGGAAGGATGCCAGGTCCCAGAATGGAAGTGGCAGAGAAGAGTGTCATCAGGGGAGCAAAAGGGACCCATAGAATTCGTGGAGTGTTGGTTTCATAAGCCTCACAACCTCTTCAGGATGACTCTCAAGACATGGTGTGTTCCTTGTGTTTGTTTGACTTCAACAAACGAGACCTACAGGAGTAGAAGTGGGCAGGAAAGTGCTGTGCTCCCCACCAGTCATGGAAGGCATTCTTTCTACTGGGGAGGCACAGAAGCAAGGGTGGGGAGCCAAGGGCCTGGTGTTAGGGGCCCCTGGCTGAGCAGCTTCCCACAGCTCCATAGATGGCAGGGTAGAAACAAATGAATCCCTGGAAGGTTGGCAGGGCAGCCCCAGCAGCAGGTCCCTAGGGCAGTGTTCCCAGCTAGTGGGGGTGGGCTGCTTCCTTAAGGAAACCAAGGGCCCTGCATGGAGGAGGCAGACTCAGTAAAGACAAGGACTCAGGATTGGGGGGGAGGTGAAGACAGGGCTAGGTCTCAAGTTGTAAAGGTATCTGGGGATGGAGGAGCAGGCACGCAGAAGAGGGGTGTGCACCCCCCCCCACACACAGTCTCATGAATGCATCCCCAAGGGATCCTTGGGTTTAACTCCACTTGCATACAGGTCCCTACCTAACCCAGCCTAGCTCAGCCTCCTCCACTTAGAGATCTCAAGGGTCCCCACTAGTGAACATGGGGATCAGGGTCTGGAATGGCCAAATGGACAAGCTTTGGCACCAAGAATGAGCCGGGGAGGTGGCCAGGTGATCAAGACTGATGAGTACAGGCAAGTAGTGACAATTATTTGCTCTTGGCACCTCCTGACAGGGGCCAGGCACCTGCACACCCGCTTCCCACCTCTCCTTCCTTTCCCAAGGAAAAGTCTTCCCTCCATGCTGGCCTCAGCCCTAGGGTCTAGCCTAGCCCTGAGGAAGTCTCTCCATGCTTGCTTCTATCAGGGACCCTGCTGGTTCCGGTAGGTTCCAGAAAGCCCTTGGTCACCAGTGCCATGACCATCTGAAAGGCTTGTCCTGCTGTGTGAACAGATTGAGGTTAGTCCAGATGCAAGAGTCCAAGGTGAATCCCCTTGCATGTCCTGCCTGGCAGTGGATGTGAGGTCACCTCCAATTAGAAGCCTTCAGGACAAGGGCAAGGGGAGGAGAGAGAATGACAGCCCAGGGGTCTGAGGTTCCCAGTTAGTTCAGAAAAGTAGGGGAGAGAGGTTGGAGTCAGCCCACATAGGGCTGTAAGAACAGGAGGGGCCATGGCCCAAAGTTGGCCGCGGAGAGGCAGAGCGAGTGACACAGGAACACCGATGCAGCCCAGCTCTGATAAAGGACAGCAGAGGCCCGGGAGGACCAGAGAGCTGCAGAGGTAGCGGGGGAAGGGGGAGGGAAGGCCTGGAGGGATCCCCGGGTGGGGGAGAGGGTGTGGCGCAGGAGGAGGTGGCCAGGAAGGATGGAGACATGAGCGTCACGCTGGGGGGAGGTGGGAGTCCATACGGCGCGACCCAGGCCCATCACGGCCTCATCCTGCCAGGGGCATCCCTAGCCGGCCTCCGGCCTCGGTTTCCCCGGGCGGCAGGGCGGGGCGGGGCGGAGGCCGCGCGGGTCTCGAAGCCGCCTGCAGGGTGCGCCCGTGAGCGGCGCGGCTGGAACCTGAGCCGGAGCGGCCGCCGAGACAACGGGAGCCCGCGCGCGAGCCGCAGGTCAGCTGGGGCTACTGGGTCCGGGGGGCCCCGGGAGGGCCGCCAGCGTTGAGGCCATCGGAGGCTGCCGGCCGGGAGGGCTGGGCGACTCGGGTCCCGCCCCTCGGGTCGCTCCCTCCAACTCTTTCTTCCCGCCGCCCCGTAAGCGAGTTCACCGGCGCCTGGGTCCGAACCCTGCCCCGCGGCGACCAGAGGAACGGCCTGCGCCGGGGCTGCCCAGGCACAGTCACGTCGGAAGCCCGGTCGGGTTCGGTGCCGGGCCCTCTGGGTCACCCCAAGCCGACCGGAAGGTGCGCAGGAGCAGGCGGGGAGGAGAAGGGACGCGGGAGATGGGTGGCCAAGCGGCAGGGCGCGTAGCGGTCGTCTAGACCCGCCGGCAATGGGCGGGGAATGGCCGTCCGTCTGTCAGCGCCACGCGCCGGCCCAGCGCGCTCACCTGAGCCTTTCGGGGATTTGGCTCAGGGCTCGGCTGGGTGCGTCGATCCCCAGGGACAGGAGAGGACTTCCACAGGTGGAGGGACCGGGGCGGGCACCCGTGGTCCCGGGTAAGGGCACGGCGTGAGCGGAGGCTCGGCATCCCTTGAACGCCTGGGGCGCGGCAAGAAAGGAGAGTTTGGAACGCGGGGCGCAGAGCGCACACATCCCGTAGGTAGTGGTGGCGGCAACCCGACTTAGAGGACCCGGGAGAGGTCCGAGGACTGGATGCGCGCCTCGGGTTGGTCCTGGCCGCCTGCCGGGAGCCGAGGTAGGAATGGCGGGAATGGTGGCGACTCTCGAGGGATTTGGTGCAGGCTGTCAGAGGCCCCAGTGGCCATAATCCCTGCGTCCCGGACATTTAGGTTTTAATTTTCCTCGGCTGCACCATGGGAGGAACGGGGAGACCAAGTAGTGCTCTGGAGCCACAGAAGCTGGAGGTCAGGTGTCCCCAGGACTGGGCAGTGCAGGTGTTGTCCTAACCCTCGGGGAAGAGGCATGACCCCTTTGTCCGCTCTCCTTCCCTACCCAGACCTTGCACCGTCTCCCCGAGTCGGCTGCCCTCCGGCCTGGAGCTCAGGCCTGCCCTGATGCTGGCCACCCTGCACTCTGCTGACCAGCTCCCCCTGGACTGCGTGTCATACCTCCATGCCGAGCTGGGGCTGCTTCTGGCCTCCAGGCCCTGCTGACCAGAGTGGAGAGCTCTTTGGAGCACCACAGTCTGGGGGAGGATGTGGTGGGGTTGGGGCTGCCTCATTAGCCCCTGAGGCTTTGAGTGGGGCTGTGAATGCCCCCCAATTCTGAGTCCCAGCAGATCTGTGGCATGGTTTCCTCACACTTGTCCCCTGGCTATAGTGTCCACCCTCCATAGCTCAGACCTTGCTTAGTTCTAGTGTCCCTTGGCAAACCTCAGCCAGTGCGTGTCCCCTCAATAGTGACCAGGTCTGGCCTTGACTGGCTCCTTGTTCATGGCCTGGAGGAAGCCAAGGGTAGCCCACATGTCTGGCAGAGTCAGATTAGGGGCCAAGACTGAAGGAAATGGCCAGTCTCACACCTGGGTTCTGATCTTGTCTCTTTGACTCACTAACAGGTAGTCTTGGGCAGGTCACTATGTGGGAATCCATTTTTCTCATATGCAAAGCGAGGATGGCATTCTTAGTAATACCTAATGCACATTAGGGCTGTAGTGGAGAAGAAATGAGATGGTATTGGCTGGAGGGGTTGAGGACAGGTCCAGAGTGTCTGTGTTCAAGTTGGGGAACCCTGTGGGCTGAGGGAGCTGTGGACAAGCATTGGCTTGGGAGCAGGTATGAGGCTTCAAGTTGTTGGGTTCTGCAAAATCGGGGCTTATGGGTGGGAGCACAATCCCAGATGGCTCTTGGCAGTGACCTAAAATCCCACAGTGGGTCCTGCTACCCTCTAATCTGCCTGATCCTGTTACCTCACCCTGGAGGAGACAGAATCACCATCATTGGGAGATGTGTCTTATTTGGTAAAACAGGGATAGTGCGTGTGTTAGGGCAAGTATAGCCAAACAGATGGGTGTTAGGGCAAGTATAGCCAAACAGATGGGTGTAGATGGGAAGGGTTTTGGTGTATATGGTCAGGTGCTGAGGAAAGGAGATTGCTTAAGTCAGGTACTGAGTTGGTAAAGGGGAGGGGAGGAGTCCTAGCCCCAGGGGAAGTGACCTGGGCTCTGTGACACACTGGGGACCACAGAAGGGTGAAGAGCAGCCTGAAGGATGTAATCCAAGAAGGGAATGGAAGTTGGAGGGAGCAGATGGGGAGCAGTGGAACTCAGAGGAGCCCCCCATGAGACTGGGTTCTCATGGTTCCCCTGGATCCTGGTGTGGGAAGAAGCAGCTTGGTGGCAGAGGGGGAAGCCCTAGCCCCTGCAGCCTGGAAGCCATGAGAACCTGCCAGACTCAGGAAGGTTCAGATGGAAGGGAAGAATAGCTGCCCCTTACCCCAGCCTGGGAAAGGGGCTGAACATCAAGGAAGGCAGGGCTTGCTGAAGCTTTACAGGGCTGCCTCAGGCCCTCTCTGATGTGGTGCTGAGCCATGCAGTCTGTTTTCTTTGGTACAATCTTCCCCACCTCTCTCCCTTCGCTTCCAAAGACCCTTTCTTTGAGAAGCCCTCTTTGCTCACTGTGAGCCTATACCTCTTCCTACAGGACAGGTCTGTTTTGGAAGTTGCTGGGTAGGGGCTGACATTACTTACCCTTCTGTGGCTCCCACCTGTGCAGCTGCTGTCTGAAGGGGTGAGGCCAAGGAGAGGCGAGCTATGGTGCTTGGGTGACTCTCGCAGTGCCTAGGCTGGAGGTCTCTGCCCACAGAACCCAAGGCTGATAGCTGTCTGCCCATTTGTTGCAGGGAGCTTCACCTCTGGCCTCACAGTGACCTCTGCAAGCTGTGAGCCAGGCTGGAAGAGGCGCTGGACAGGCAGAGGAACAACACAGGGTTCAGCCCTTTCCCTTCAGCCTCCCAGGTGTTCACAGGGCATCATCACACCCAGGCCCTCAAGACCCCAGCCATGGGTCCACATCCCTCCATCCTTAGTGTGTTCAGCACTGCTCTTTTAATAGGCTAGCCTCCTGCCAGGGCCCCACCCTGGACCCCCTTGGGTCTATGTGCTTAGAATCCCCCCTTGTCCCTTCTTCAGTATCCGTCATTTGCCGTTTGTGGGTGGCACAGGTGCTAAGTCGTTCATGTGATGCCTGCACACACGTGGGGAGCCGCGGCACAGACGGGAAGCCTGTGTGATGGAGTTGGATCTTACCTTGGCTGCTTCCACCAGAGGCTGGGCTCCCAGCATCTCTGGGAGACCTGACCCCTTGGAGGGGGTCTGTCTGGAGAAGCAGCCTGTGATGGGTGAGTGGCCACTTCAAGTGAGGAGGACTAAGAACCTGCAGCTTGTCTAACATCTAGCCTGGACACTTGGTAATAATGGTGGGGGCCATTCTGAGCCCACAGTGGGGAGGAGGGAGCTGTGGCAGGCCTGGTGGCCCTGGGGGTGAGGCTGAGGCAGCCCTAGGGCTGGCCCCTGGCTGGTGGTGTGGAGGCTGCTCAGAGAGGCAGCCGTGCCCTGGCCTCCACCTGCAAGGGGCTGTTTCTGTTTCCTGTCCACATCCTGTCACTAGGAGTGAGCAGTGGCACAGACTTGGGTGGTGGGGGAGGGGGCAACTGGGTGCCTACTAGAGAACCTGGCACCCAGCCTGCATCAGACATTGGAAGAAAGGCACTGTGTACCTCTGGAGAGAGAAAAGGACAGCCTAGACTTGGTGGTTGCTTAGCTCTAGGTAGCTATGGACGGCTGGTTGTCATGTTGGCTGATGCATCTGGGAGGAGCTCTTGGGTCCCGGGACCCTTGTGTTCTGCAATGCTTGTGTCTAATCATGATAGTTGTTTGGATACAGGGGCACCAGCCCATCCAGCTGTTATTCTTTGTCTAGTGCCCCTCCATGTGGCCACTACTGAGTTCCCCAGATATTGATGCTTTTCAGTCTCCCTCTCTTGTCGCTCTAGACTGTCTCTTGTGAAGTTTCTGTGAGAATTCCTCAATGCTGTCTTTGGACTCCCAACTGTGTCTTCAGCTGGGCCTGACTCCCATCACATCTGGTGTTTAATCCCTCTGCTTTTCATGTCCAGGGTTTTGTATTATTTCTCGTTCATACTTGCCTGTTCTTGTTTCTGCCAATAGGTTCGTAAGTTCTCACTCTTGTTTATGGATGTTATTCCTTTGTTTCTTTGAGGATCTTAAATGTCTTTAAAAAATCATTATGACATTACCTTATTGCCTTCCTCTCTTCTGCAGTGAACTACCCTGTGGTTTTGATGCTCTTTCTTACCTTAGTCTTAATTTCCTTCTATGTTTTGAAATTGGGGTTTGCAGGTCATCCATAGTGGGAGCTGAGTCTTGGGAACAGGAAATGGACTGTGGGTACCTGAATCTCTAGTGCAGTAGCTCTCACTCAGGACTTTCTCTTGATTCAAGGCTCCTGCTGCAAACTCAGGGCCTGAGGGACCAGGTGCAGCAGCAAGGGGCACAGAGCTGCCTGTGGCGCACTGGTTGGGCTGCTTTGAGGCACCATGGAGTAGGTAACTGGTGAACATTGGCTACAAGTAAGAGGCAGGATTCGAAAACTGGGATTCTGGAATCCAGGGGGAAGCCCAGCATGGCTTCAATGGGCAGAGTCTCTACAAATTGCTTTGCTCCTTGCCCTTGGCCACACCTAGGAGCAGGTGTACAGGGCCTGCCTGGAAGCCAGTGGGCACCTCTGTCCAGCAGGATCTGGGAGGTTACAGCCACCATCTGGGCATGTGTACAGAGACTTGCTAGTCTAATGTACGAGGAGCCAGAAGTGGGCCAGATATATAGGTTTGGATTAAATAGAGTTTTAATTAAAGTGGCCAGGAAGGGGGGAGGGGAGGCAGGAAGAGGTGTAGTTTTGGATCTGACTGCTGGGAATTATATGGGGTTGTTCTTTCAAGGCTTTATCGTGCACGTTCTGCAGCATGTGTCTGTGTCTGCAGTTTACATGGGACAGTATCTGCCCTCTGACCTGTCCCCAACAAGGGGCAATCACAAGGAAATAGGACATTATTAATATTTAATTTCCCCTCTTTGCTAGCAACAGATGACTCAAGGATTAATTAGATAGAGCCAACATAGAGGGATAGGAAATTGCCAGATCCTGGCCCAGCCCCAGCCCCTACCCCCTAGGTCCCTGGCCTTCCTGTGGCTCTGGGAGGCTTCAGAAAGGAGGGAAGTGAGAGGGATCTGTAGTCTTCCTGCTGTGTACCATGGCATTCTCCCCCAGTCCCATGCCTCTCCTTAATATTCCTGGTAAGGCTGAATGGTCACTTTGCTATTTCGGCCTTTGCTTCCTCCACTGTAATATGGGGTTCACGAGGCCAGCAAGAACACTGCTGCCAGTCATCTTCTGAGCTCCCAAGCAGACTGCATAAGCTCTTTAAGAGGGTCCAGTGCAGTATTCTGGCATCTAGGCAGGTGGCTTCCTTAGAGAGCAAAGGGCTTAGTGGTTCAGTGGTAACTGGCACCTGACAGCTAGCTATGTGTATTGCTTCCCAGTTCTGGTCAGTGACACATTATAATTTGAAGCTGGCATAGCAGGAGCATTTGTATCACAGAAAAAGGCTAGAAATTAGGGGCCCCTGGTCCTGGCCTGCTTTGTCAGCCTACAGTTGAGCAGCCTCAGCCTTTGCCTGGGAGTCCTCCTCCCTCCGACTCAACTTGGGTCAGAGCTGGGAAAGGCATAGCCCAGAGTAGCTTGTCAGGTGCCCAGGTGGCCTGTATGACCAGGGGAGTTTCACCCGATGTGCTGGCAGCAACTGAGACATCCTGCAGGACTGTTAGAGGAAGGGGCAGAGGGGCATAGGCCCCCTGGCAGGTAACAGTGAGTCTTTCATCCCATGCAAGGCTGGTTGGACAGGAGGAGCAAGTGCTTCAGTAAGAATGGAGAGCAGGAATGTGACCTCAGCAACAGTCAGGGAGGGTTTGGATTATGTAGTATTGATTAATTTGGAGACCCAACACAGAAGGTGGTGGGGAGACCCTGAGAACCGGGGCTACCCAGGCAGGTACAGGGCTACCAAGAGAGCCTCAGCAAACAGAGTCCTGGGTCGGGCCCCTTCAAGCTGAATGTCCTGGGTGCTGTGGAGCCAGTGCAGTTCCCAGGACTGGTGTTGGCAGTGTGACTGTCAGCAGGGCAATGGGACTGGCGAGCTCTGTCCTGTGTTGGCAGAAATGCGGTTTGTTCCACCTCAGCTTGGTGGGGCCCTTGAATCCAAAAGATGGCCAGGAAGCACACCAGCCTTCTAGCCTGGGCTGGTCAGACTGGCAGAGGGCTGTGCTGTCCTTTAATGTAGATTAAAGAGAGGGCCTACGGGAGGCTCAGTGGCAGTCCTCTTCCCCTAGGAAGCACTGGTCTTGAGGCAAGAACCCCAGATGGCATGGCTCCTCGAGGATTCCCTGATTGGACAGTGGTTTGCTACTGCTGATGGCATTGGGCCTGGGAGGCCACACTGTAGAGGCAGGACCAGGACCAACCTCAACTCTACCAGTGCCTGTTGGCCTGGGCGTACTGGGGTTGGTGAGTCTCTGGTGAATGCTGCTTTGGGCTGCAAGCCAAGAGCATATATGGTCAGTGATGGCACCTGGAGACGGTCTGGCCTATCTGCCAGGGACATGCTTTGCAGGCAGCTAGTTGGCAAGAATCCTGTCCAAAGCCGGGCTCAGTAGAACTTGGCCTTTCCTACCTGTTGCAGGCCGCTGACTCTGTTTCTGCAAGGGCTTTGAGTTCTTTCTCTTCCTGCCCCTGGCCCTTGTGTCAGGCAGTTCAATCTGAGCCTCCTAGAGTGGAGCAAAAGGGTCTGTTAGGTACAGGGGCCACCCCATACACACTATGTGGCTGAAGCCTGTCCCTACTCCAGCTCCAGCCTGAGGCAGTACCTCAGTTACAAGAAAACTTAAGGTTCACTTATTTCAGCCTTGTGGCCGGTTTGGAGTGGGCTAGGAAGTAGCCTGGCCCTTTAAACAGGGCTAAAGAGTGGCCTCCTCACAGGGTTTTCAGCCTGTTCAATTCCTCATATCCTGGTGGGAAGATGTGGCTACATCTATTTTGTGGCAGTCTCCAGCATCTTGTCCCCAGGCAGCAGTGGCTGCTGCTTTTGCACCCCTGGGGCTCCACGAAGAGTAGATTTGGAGGCCTGTATGCGTTCAGGGAGAGGCACTTTAATGGGAGAGCCCTACTTGGACTGAGAGTTTCAAAAGCACAGGGAGGAACAGCTAGAGCTTGGGTTGGGATCAGGCTTGTTGGGGAGATAAAGATTTACACTTCCTGGGGGTGTCAGTTACTCCTATATTTTAAATCTCTTGTCTTCTTCCTTCTTATGAACTCATAGGTGAGAGCTGAAATGGCCCTTAGAGGTCATCTGGGGTCCAACTGCCTCACTGTATGAATGAGGCTCAAAAAGGATAAACATCAAAGTCCTGCTTTTCTGACTTAAGTCAGTTATCCCATACATCTGTCAGAGAAGCAGGTGGGGGAAGAGGGTGTGGGAGGAGAGAGGGGAGGAGGCTCCATCAGAAAAGAGAAGCATCCACAGCACCTGCCCTGCCAGATGTGCAACCCTCTGGCTGGCAGGGGCATCAGGAGGCAGCAAGTTCTTGTTCGTGCCCGCTGTGCTGTCTGTGAGGGTAAGAGGGCTTACCTGCTGGCAGTAGAAGAAAGACCCAGACAGCTTCCCAGATTCCTCTAGAACGGAGCTCTAAGGGTCTCTGGCCTGTCCCTAGTGAAGCACTGGTGTTTCTTAGTTGGCATTGTAGTTCCCTAGAGAGCTTTCCGGGGATGGAGCAGGCCCAGGTGGGCTGAGAGGCTGGCCCAGTTAGAGGTGGGTGGGATTGGGAGAGCCCTAGTGGGGAAGGGTCCTTTCTGGGAGAGAGGGAGAGAAGGAGGGAGGCTGGTAGTGAATACAGGGACCCATGGGACTCGTGAGGCTGCTACAGAAGATTTGAGAAGCTGAGTTTGGGGAGCCAACACAGGGACTTAACTTTGACAGATTCTTGGCACCCCTAGGAAAAAAACAGAGACAAGCTGATTTCTGGCCAGGCTGGGAAGGCCATGACCTCAGCACCAGGAGTGGGGGAAATACAGGCGCCTTGGATAGTAAGGGGCGGGGTGGGGGTGCTATGTTTCAGTTGGAGTCCTGACAGGCGTGTGGCCTTGGCTTTGCCTGTAATCTCTCCTGAGTTTGTCCTACACAGCCTGGGAGGGGTTTGGGTGAGGGTCTTGACAGGAATTCCATGGGCCCCAAGGGAAGCAGCTTTGCTCAGTGAGCTCTCTGGGTCCATTGTACTCTTTGGCAATTGGGACCAGAATTCCAATTCTGCCTCCTGCGTGTGGCCGCAGCAGTCCAGGCAGGGCATAGGGGTCTTCCTCAGGCTGACACCCGGCCTGCCAGTGGGGCAGAATCCGAAACAGTGGAGTCTTCAGGGCCAGGGTGGTTCAGCTACTTACCCAGGTTCTCCCTTTACAGATGCCTCCAGAATCCTGAAGTCAAACTGAGCCATGATACCACGGCTGAAGCCCCTGGAGAGGGCCTGATTTCAGACTTGGAGTTGCCTATGAGAAAGTCTTCGGAGAGACTCCTGCAGGAACGCTGTTGGCTCCTGTGAGAAAAGGGCTCTGGGGCCTGAGTTGGCAGACAGCTGGGCTGCAGCTATGGACCGTGAGCTGGCCCAGGCCTGCGTCCTTGCTGAACCTGCCCGTCTGTGGCCGCTCCCACCATGGGCTCCTTGGTGTATATCACAGTGGAGCTGGCCATTGCCGTGCTGGCCATCTTGGGCAATGTGCTTGTGTGCTGGGCTGTGTGGATCAACAGCAACCTACAGAATGTCACCAACTACTTTGTGGTGTCGCTGGCGGCAGCTGACATTGCGGTGGGTGTACTCGCCATCCCGTTTGCCATCACCATCAGCACTGGGTTCTGCGCTGCCTGCCATGGCTGCCTTTTCTTTGCCTGCTTCGTCCTGGTCCTCACCCAGAGCTCCATCTTCAGCCTCTTGGCCATCGCCATTGACCGCTACATTGCCATTCGCATCCCTCTCCGGTGAGTCAGGGGCTTATATCTGTGCCTATGGTCTGTCTGGTCTGTGGTGTTAGTGTGCGGTCCTAAGGACAGGGCCCTGGGGCTCAGTTTGGGGCTGCCCAGGACTGGCAGATAGACAGTCATTGTGCCCATCTGATTGATCCCATAGTACCGAGCAGTCTGGCCCTTCCTGGGCTCCCCTAGGCCACATAGTTAAGGATGTGACATTCAGCCATGTTTGGCTACTGGCAGAGACCTTTGGTCTGCACCCGGGCACTATACACAGGTATGCCTGGGCCACTATTCATACAGCAGAGCAAAACTCCCTACATGATGCTAAGATGGGTAGGAAGCCATGGGAAACCACAGAACCTCAGCTAGGAACCCGCCTGCTGCCTGCCTTTCCCCAGTTCCTCTGGGCGGCCTTGCAGTGTGCATGTTAAGAGAATAACCCAGAGAGGGGAAGTGACTTGGCTGAATGCCACTGTGAGTCACTTGGACTAATATGCAAATTATGTTGCTCCTTAGGTCACCAAGGACTCAGCCTGTCTTCAGGGGCTGGCTGTGGGAGGGGATTTTTATGGTGAATCCTTTGTGAAGTAATTTCATTTAAGTATTGTGTAAATTTAGACTTTTCCCAGCAGCTGAGTTTACTTGGTGTGGCCTCCACCTACCCAGGTCATAGTTGAGCTAGAAAGTATGTCCATCCCCTGGGGAACGTGGAGGCCCTCCTATTCCACCTCCTTGCCTCTCATCACAGAGCTGGGTCCCACACCCAGGGTGACTGCAGGCCCTAAGAGAGGTCTCCATGATTTAGAATCAGAATGCATTGTCCCCATAGTGGATTCTTCTAAACAGGTGGAGTCTCCTCCTATGGAGGAAGCATCAGCAGCCCCACTGTGGTCTGAGGGCACCCAGCAAGGTTCAGTGAGCAAATGGAAATTCAGAATGTCAAACCCAGTGGGGCCCTTAGAGGTCACTTCCTTCCTCTCATCTTCTGGATGGAAAAATGAGGCTCTGAGAAAGAAGCCAACTCTCTCAGGGCCACACAGGAGTTGGTAGCAAAACTGGACTAAGTCTGGGAAGAAATATGGCTTGCCACTACTATCACATCAGTCTTTGGGGAGTGGTCATGGGTGGCCCAGCCTCTCAGAAGCTGGATCCTGTAGCCATTGCCATCCCCTGAGCCCTAACAAGGAGGTAGGCACCCATGACAGGGTGCTTAAAAGGAGTATACCCTGAGTTCAAACCCCAGTACTGCAAACAAACAAACAAACAAATAAATAAATAAAATGGAGCCTGGGTCTCAGGCCTTTTACTTTACTCTGGGTGCTTTATGGTGGCATACTACTGTAATTCAGCATTTAGGATGTTGAGGTAGGAAGATCGTGAGTTTGAGGTCTGGGTTATATATCTAGTTCAAGAGCAGCCTGAACTATATGGTGAACTCTTAGGTGGGCCCTTCTGCTGACTCAGAGGTGGTCTGACTCTTGGCATAATCTGTGGGAATCCTAGGCTCCTAGTGCTTCCATCCCTTGCTCTAGGGAATGCAGCAGAGTATAGGCTCATTAGTGACAGCTCAGAACATGAATCCCAAGAGGAGAAAACAGAAGACTAGAGTCCACCTCAGGGAGCCAGGCTGAGTCCACACAGTGGTGGAGCACCAAGGGGAAGCACTGGCCTAGCTCTCACTTTCTTCTCTGAGACAAAGGGGAACAACATTCTAGTGAATGATCAGGATGGCTCAGCTATGTGACTATGGAAAGTCAACTGCCCTACTCCGAACCCATTTTTTTCATCTGCAACAAGGGGACAACTCTGTCTCTCTGAGTTCATAAAGGTGAAGGCCCAGTGAGTGAATGGATGAGAGTGGCAAGGCTGGACAGAGTGGGCAGAATTCAGCTCTTTCTTGAGCTGCTAGAAGTTTGGAGTCATGGGCCTATCCCACTCTGGTCTGCATCCCTGACCCCAGGACCTCCCACCTGGACTTTGGGCTTATTTAAGCTGTGCTCAGTGAGGCTTTGGAAGGCTCCGACTGGAAGGAGCCAGTGGGGATGACGATGGCAATGATGCTTATCCTGACCTGTGAGTAGAGAGTATTATAGTTGCCAGAGGATGTTAGCGCAGCGTCTTCTTTGATCCTCTTGGCCCAGCATTTCAGTCAGAGCGGATGTTATGATCCTCATGGCCATGGGGAGACCAGAGCCAGGAAAGGACGTATGCGCGTCTCCTGACATGGATGGAGTTAGAACCCTTCACACTGTTCCTGGCACTTGGGTCCCTTCATTTTCTTATTCCTTGAAGCCCCTGGCTGCTGGGCCCATGGAGGTATCTATGTAAAGGCTCCTTAGAGAGTGAGTCAGCCATAAAGCAGGCCATGAGAACTAGGAGGTACAGCCTGGCTCAGACTCCCACTTCCTCCTCTGTTCCTTCCTTCACAGCTGGGAATACAGCTTCCTTTATGTCATTTCCTGCTCCACTGGCAAGGTCCATAGGGCTACTCTCATTTCTTTCTTTCTTTTTTTTTTTTTTTGGACTGGGGTTTGAACTCAGGGCTTCATGCTTACAAAGCAGGTACTCTACCATTTGAGCCACATACCTCCAGTCCATTTTGGTCTGGTTGTTTTGGAGATGGGGTCTTCAGAGCTATTTGCCTGGGCTGGCCTCAAACCACAATCTTCCCGGTCTCAGACTCCCAAGTAGCTAGGTGTGAACCGCTGGCATCTACCTTATAGGGCTACTCTTAAGTCTAGTCTCTGATGGATGCTTAGTCCCAGGTCTGCACCACATGCCAATAATTTTTTTTTTTAAGGAACTCAGTTTCAGAATAATCTATCTCGTCTCTCTCCAAAGTGCAGGGACCTTGTTGTACTAGGACAGGGCTTAACTGGTGAGAAGGAATCCTGGCTGGAGGCAGAGATGCAGCTTTCAGTGTCCCCAGAGGATGAAAAGCCTGAGGGAGGGATGAGGCTTCCTTTCCCAGGGGACCTTTACACCACCATCTGCTGTATCTCACATTAGCCTCTGGTGGGTGTTCTCACTCCTGAGTAATAGGCCAAAGCACAGAGCAGCTGGTGCTAAGGCCTGAAGTCCTTTATAATGAATCACCTGACTTCCAAAGTGGCAGGAGGGCTGGGCACCAGTGGCTCACACCTGTAATCCTAGCTACTCAGGAGGCAGAGATCAGGAGGATAGAGGTTCAAAGCCATCCTGGGCAAATAGTTCACAAGACCTTCTCTCAAAAAACCTGTCATAAAAATAGGGCTGGTGGAGTGGCTCAAGGTGAAGGCCCTGAGTTCAAGCCCCACTACCACAGGAAAAAAAAAAAAAGGTGGCAGGAGGGCTGGGGATCTCTCAGTGGTAAACCACTTTTCCAGCAAGCAATCTGTAACCCTTGGGTTTGATCCCCCAGCATCACAAAAAAAACAAAAATAAAGTATATGATACTTTCCTCTTCAGCCAGAGTCTCCTGTTGTGCTGGAGTTCAGTGGCAGAGTGACTGCCCTAGCACGTGTGAGGTCCTGTGTTCAATCCTCACCACTGCAAAGCAAACAAACAAACAACCAAACAAATGGAAAGGGCTAGGATTGGAAGGGAGGGCTTCCTGGAGTTTGTGTCACATGATGACACTTGTAGGGTGTGTCAGCAGGAGGGCAAAAGCCTGGGCAGAGGCCTGAGGAAGGAATGAGTATGTGAGCATTGGGATAAGGAGAGGTGGCCTGACTGCTGAGTGACAAGAGATGAGTGGGCAGGGAGTTTTGAAGCTGACTTACACCTGTCCCTGCCTGGAGAAGGAGTTTGGGTTTCCTCTGTGAGTCAGAGAGAGGCTCTTTAATTCTTGGATCACTGGTCCCTTTGGATAACTTAGGAAAGTTCTGCCTTTCAGTGTGGTACAAATGCACATGGAACCCCACCTGGAATTGTGGGATATATTCTTGAACAGTGGGGTGATTACCCCTAATGTGTGTAATCAGGGTCCTCAGGGGTGGGCAGCCTGTGTCCTACTGGAAGATACAGGGGTACAGATGGCATCTGAAAATGGGGCTGGCAGCAGCTCTGGCACCCATATCCTATGACACTTCTGAGCTCCCTGGAATGCTCAATGTCATGTTAGATAGCCTTGGTATCTCTTCTAGCTGGACAGTCTACATGTGGGGTCCAGAAGAGAAGGATGTGATTGTGTTAGTCATAGATGCAGCCCAGGAGAAGCTGCTGGACCAAGCATGGTTTGTCCATGGTTCCATATGGCCTCTGATGCTGCCCCAGGCTCCCAGATACCTGAGTTCAGGAGTGAGCCTAAAGAGCTTTCTTTTGATTAACAAAATCTATTTATCTATTTGTGTGTGTGTGTGTGTGTGTGTGTGTGTGTGTGTGTGTGTGTGTGTGTGTGTGTTGCTGGGGATTAAACTCAGGCCCTTGCACATGCAAGGCAAGCATGCTGTATCACTGAGCTACATCTCAAGCCCTAGTTAGTGTTTTGTTTTGTTTTTTTATAAATAAGCTCAAACATTAAAAAGGAGCAAAAGGTGTACAGTGAAAAGTTGTTCCTATGCCCTGGACCTCCCCCTATACCCAGTTCTTTGCCTGTGTAGGCAAGTGATGCTCATGTTTTTGTCTCTGTCCCCACAGGGCCTTTCTTTTCAGAATGCAGTGGAAAACTTACCATCATGGATTTCCTGTAAAGTAGATAAATGGACAAACCAGGGACATCAATGATATGTTCTCAGAAGCTTTCAGGCCTGGCCCTGGTGTCCTCACGAACTTGTTAATTCAATTAATACTTATCAAGCTCCTCCTCTCCTCCAGAAGCTCCTATATAACTGTCTGGAAATAGGCAAGAAGGTCCGTGCTGGAGAACAATTTGAAAACGACTGAAGCAGGTCGCCTTACACTGTGCCTATAACCACTTCCTTATGCTTGTTGGCCTCAAATGGCAAGAAGCTCACCACTGCCCAAAGCAGCCCATTTCTCCTGTGAACAGCTCAGTCAAAAAGTTCTCACCTACACTGAGCTACAGTCTGCTTCCCTACAGTTCCACTCACTGATTCAGCATCTGTCCTTATAGGACAGATGGATCCTGACAGATCCAGGATTCTAAGTTCCATTATACACATGGGGAAGCTGAGGCCTAGAGAGGGGACATGACAGGATGTTTCTTATTTGCAGGAATGAGCCAGGACTGGAACCCAGGGAGGGCTATGCTTTTCTCAGGAAAGATGTCAATATTAATAAAGCTTTCCCCTTCAATGAGAATTATGTAATGTGCCTGGCATCAGAGTAAATACTGTGTAAGGGTTAGATGGAGGGTTGGGGGAGCCTATGACTTTGTGTTTGAGTCTGCAGAACAGGAGACAGGGTAGTGCTGGCTCTCTGTTGCTTGGCAAAAATGAGCAAATTCATGGCCCTCCTCCTGCAAGAGGCCCTTTTTCAGGTGACCAAGTACCTCCCGTGTGGGCTATGGAATTCCTGAGAATAAGCCTGCCTAATTACTGTTTGGATTCTGAATTAACAGGGCCGGAGTTGTAGCTCAGTGATAGAGCACTTGCCTGCTATTTGCAAGACCCTGGGTTCAATCCCCAGCATCTCTAACAAACAAAAAAAGAATTGGCATAAGAAATTCAGAACTGACAAATTTTCCTGGACCTGAGTCACCTCTGAATGTTCACAAGCAAATCTATTCCTCAATTTGGGTTTGCCCACTTGTAAAGTAAAGAGGTGGATCAGATAAGAGATTAGAAGCCACTACCTTTTTCATTTTGTTTCTTCTTAATTTGAATTAACTGACAACACTTAAAACTTGGAAAATTTTACCAAGAAAATCAGCTCTCCAGCCAACCTTCAGATACGGTAACACTGAGACACACATTTCCCTTTTTTTGGTTCTTTTTTTTTTTTTTTTTTGTGGTACTGAGGATGGAACCCAGGGCCTCATGCATGCTAGGCAGGTGTTCTACTACTGGGCACATATTTTGCATGGTAGCAAAGACATGGTAAATGCATGCTAGCCTGCTTCACATTTGTTGCCTGTAGGTACCTGTGTTTGCCATCCATGGGCAATATCCTTTCTATGGCTGCTTTCAGCTCTGGAATCAGTGGGGTGCACTTTTCCTTGGCAACTCCTGTATATCTCATTCTGAGCTGGCAATGCAGATGGATGAGGGAAAGTACTAACCCCAGGGGTCTCCCAACCTTGGGCCCAGATAAGATAAGAAACTTCTCTGACAAGACAACTAGCTTGAACTTGAAGGATGAGTAGAGCTTCCACCAAGAAGTGGGGTGGGTAGTCTCGTTTTCCCACAATCAAAACTATTAAACAGAAGGTTATCCCTTACAGGTCACCAAGGCTCTCAATCTGAGAGACTTTATTTTTGGGTCTGCACTCTTACAAAATGTATGCCTTTCTTGAGGCTGCTTCCCGGCCTATAAAACCAGGCCACTCCTGGTGTCTGGGACTGGGAATTAACAGCTTAGATTTTCATCTGACTTTTTAGGAATACTGAGTGACTTCAGGCAGTTTATTATTCTCTGGACTTCAGTACCTCATCCAAGTTTTTTTTCCCTCTCCTCTCCTCACCTCACCTCTCTCTCTTCTCCCCTCCCCTCCCTTCCCCTTCTCCCCTTCTCTCTCTCTCTCTCCTCTTTTTTTTTTTTTTTTTTTGCAGTATTGGAGCTTGAACCTCAGGGCCTACACCACTCCACCAGCCCTTTTTTTGTGAAGGGTTTTTTCAAGATAGGATCTCATGAACGATTTGCCTGGGCAAGCTTCAAACCATGATCCTCCTGATCTCTGCCTCCTGAGCAGCTCGGATTACAGGCGTGAGCCACTGGTGCCCGGCTCCAAGTATATTTTCTTAACTACTAAGATTGCCAGATGACATTATCAAGACATAACTATCTCATTTCCGTACTACTAAGGGCTGTGGGTGGACTTGGGCAGATAGTGTCTCATTCGACCTGGAACCTCCACTCTTCCTTTACCCCCTTGGGCAGCCTCTCCTTTGGGTCTCCAGATACCCAAGACAAATAGGGAAGAAAGAGCATGGAGCACAAGAGGCTCAGATCATCTTCAGGTCTGATCTGGCTGGTCCCACTCCCAGCCAATAAGCCCACCTTCCAGTCTGAGTTTCTCGACTCTTGGTCCTGCTTTGTCCTGATTTCTCAGGCCTCTGACATTGGTCTCCTCTCCCTAGGTACAACGGCTTGGTGACAGGTATGAGGGCCAAGGGCATCATTGCGATCTGCTGGGTGCTGTCATTTGCCATCGGCCTGACGCCCATGCTGGGCTGGAACAACTGCAGCCAGATGAAAGAGGGCAGGAACCACTCGCAGGCCTGCGGAGAGAGCCAGGTTACCTGTCTCTTTGAGGATGTGGTACCCATGAACTACATGGTATACTATAATTTCTTTGCTTTTGTGCTAGTGCCCCTGCTGCTCATGCTGGGCATCTACTTGAGGATTTTTCTGGCAGCCCGGCGACAACTGAAGCAGATGGAAAGCCAGCCCCTGCCAGGGGAGCGGACCCGGTCCACACTGCAGAAGGAGGTCCATGCTGCCAAGTCATTGGCCATTATTGTGGGACTCTTTGCCCTCTGCTGGCTGCCCCTGCACATCATCAACTGCTTCACCTTCTTCTGCCCAACGTGCAGCCACGCCCCTCTCTGGCTCATGTACCTGGCTATTGTCCTCTCCCACAGCAATTCCGTTGTCAATCCCTTCATCTATGCCTACCGGATCCGCGAGTTCCGCCACACTTTCCGCAAGATCATTCGCAGCCATGTCCTGAGGAGGCAGGAACCCTTCAAGGCAGGGGGCACCAGTTCCCGGGCTTTGGCAGCTCACAGCACCGAGGGAGAGCAGGTCAGCCTCCGCCTCAATGGCCATCCACCCAGGGTGTGGGCCAACGGCAGTGGCCCCCATCCAGAACGGCCCAATGGCTATGCCCTGGGGCTGGTGAGCAGAGGGAGTATCCAAGGACCGCATCAGGCTGTGGCCCTCTCAGACGTGGAGCTCCTTAGCCATGAACACAAGGGAGCTTGCCCAGAGTGCCCCGGCCTAGAGGAACCCCTGGCCCACGGCAGAGCAGGAGTGTCCTGATGGTCCACGGAATTTGCACCTTCCTGTGGGAAGGAAATCTTTCTCTTTCTGGTTGGCTGGACCAGTCACATTGGGAGAAGAGAGGAACGAATGTGCGAGAAGACCCATTAGGCATCTGCCTCCCACTTTGAACTGAAAGGAGGAAGCCCCTAGCTGGAGCAGCATGAGGCCCAGCAAGAAGGGCCTGAGGTCTGAGGAAGTAGCTGTTTCATGCTGTGAGGTCCTATACTAGGCTAGGACCACAGCACCAGCAGTATCTTCACTGGGCAGGGCCCAGTCCCCCACTCCAGAAGCATCTAGAAGCTCCTTGTCTCTGCAGAGCAATTGTGGCTTAGCAGACTGGGGGAGTGGCTGCAAAAAGCCTCCGTCAACACATGCCAACTTCCCAGACTTTCTGGGGCTCAAGGAGCTGCTGGCCTAGAGGGTGGCACTTGATTATTTTTGCCAGGAGAAGATGTTAAGTGTGAGGAAATCCTTTCTATTTTATTATCTTCCTCTCCCTGGCTGCAGGGACTGTTGCCAGTCCTGCTGCTAACCTTGTACCAGGAATCTGCCCAGGGAGTCTCAGGCAACCCTCTCCTGCTGCCCAAAGCTGCCATACACTTACTCCCAGGGCCATCTCTTGGGGCAACAAAACTGGGCTGGAGGACAGGGAGTTGTAATAGAAACAGTGCCAGGGCATGGGCTCAGGCCCCAGATCCCAGGGAAGAGGCTGGGGCTGGCAGGCCATGGGCCTGAGCCTGGGTAGCTCAGAACTGCCCAATTAGAGGTCCTAACTGCCTTTCCACTAAAGGGAATGTTTTTTGTTTTGTTTTGTTTTTTTGAGACAAAATAAAAATGAGCCACATGTGTTTTAAGCTTGTGCAATGAGGATGGTGTCTGAGTTCTTTTCCCTATTCCATAAGCCAGGCCTGGTGCACACAGATGGTGTGTGTGTTGATTATGTGTGAGAGAGCATGTGCGTATATGTAGACAGACAGATGGAGACACATTGCCTGCCCTGAGGGCCTCCCCAAGCTCCTGTCCTCCCAGGGGACAGGCTGCCTGGTAGCACCAGAATCCAAATGTCCATGTGTGTGGGGAGGGGGAAGGCAAACTGGCATTCCTGTAAGAGGCCCCCTCATCCCTTATAGGCACCACAGGAAAAGGGGGTTCTTTGCCCAGTTGCTCCCTACCTGGGAGCACTGACCTCTCTGCCCTAGGTATTCATGGTAGAAGAACCTGGCTCCTCCCTCTCTCCTTACTTTTCTGACATCCTAAAAGGAAGATCTATCTGTAGTTTGTCTTCTCAGAGCTCTGTCTACTATCCCTAACCCTGCTCCATCCCTCAACTGAGAGGCCACGGATTGTAATCTGGGCTAGAGCTAAACCACCCTCTCCTAAATCACCCCTCCCTCCCGTTCCTCCTAACACAGAAAAGGAATGCTGTGTCTTGCTCTAACCATGGCTCTGGGGCCTCTGCCTGAGGAGGCAGTGTCAGCCTCCTGTTGGTGAAATAGGCCTGGGGTTGGCAGGGAGCTGTGATTGGTTCCTGTAGGGCTGTGAAGCCCAGTTCAGTCTCACTCAATTTCCGAAAGGATTGTTAAAACTTTACAGGTAACATTCACATAGCCCTGGGGACCTCATTTTACGGATGATGAATAAGCTCATAGACAAGTACTTGCCCCAGGTCACACAGCTTGTGAGTGGCAGAAGTGAACTTAAAACCAAATGTGTTCGGCTGCAAAATCCATGTTCTTTCTTTTCATTAATTGATAATGAACTATTTCAACCAAACCAAAAGTATGAAATAATATGTGCCCACTTTCTACTTAAGAAACAGTACAACTCCAGTTGACGCATCTGACCTCTCCTGATGTCAATGCTCTTCTGCTTGTATTTGGAGGCAACCGCTTTCCTGAATGTCCTTTCATTCCATTGCACATCTTTTTTTTTTTTTTTTTTAAAACCTTGCAATTCTGGGACTAGAACTTAGGGCCTTGCACATGCTAGGCGACCACACCATTGCATATCTTTATACTTTTCCTACCCAGATGCATATGTAAGTTGTTTTTAGATATCTTTCACCATTCTATCAATTATAGTTCCTTTTGGCTGGCTGCACAGCAAACCAACTGGGAAGTTTTGAGCATTCTAAAGCCTGAGCTTCTTGCTAGAGATCCTGGATTAATTGCAACAGTCATTCCCCAAGGAGTCTTAAGACATTTAGGGCTAAGAAGCACTGATATAAATGTAGAATGCACTCCTGTCCATACTGGCTCCCTCCCTCTTACACACCTTGGGGCTGTGCTAACTGTGGGCCGAGGGCAGGACAGTGACCTGGGTTGTGTCTGAGGAGGCTATGAGCCAGGATGCTGTTGGCCTCATGTCCAATTAGTAGAGGAAGACCAGAAAGAAAACTGCAAAGGCAGGGAAGACCGAAGCTTGGGTGCTCCAGCCTTTTCTGCGGTGTCTTGGGAACTGATCTTTGAGTGCTGGGCTACAGGGATGCAGATTTCAGGGTTGGGGAGGACAGGGCCAGGAGTTTAGAAAGAGCTTGTGAGTACAACTGTGTCCCAACTCCTCTTGGCTAGCTCTGGCCCAGCTCTGGAGCCCTTCTTCTGGCCTCCAGGGCCCAGTGTCCTAATCTCCACCCCATCTATATGGGCTTCCACTGAGTGTGAGCACCATATGCATAGACACCATCACACGCATGTGTCATTCCTCTGAGCGTGAGAACACAGGAGGGGGGACACGTGAACATCATGGGCAGGAGGAAGTGCCCACAGAAGCAGCACAGGGGAAGCAGGAAGACTAATGAAGGGCATGAACAACCATCTAGCCCCACAGGGTACAGAGGCATATGCTGCCCTGAACCAAGTTGCAGGGGCCCTACAGCTCTGTCCAAGGGTCCCTCTGCCCTTTCCCTGATCTTCCCAATGGCCTGGGGTTGGACAGACCTGTTGGGAGCACACAGGACCTATCACAGACCTATGTCCTTTGGGCCCCAGCCCCTCTCTAGGGCAGGTATGGCCAGGGACACAGGGAAGCCTGAGAATAGTGGCCTGGATCAGGCTGGATCTTGGTGTGTCTGTGGTCTCTCTAAGAGACAGGCCCTCCAGAGGATTTCTCTTCTGCTCCTTTACAAACAACCCTTCTTAAGCTTCACCTTTGTAGTGCTCCTCATTTGCATCAGGACCCTTCCTTTTCTCTAGGAGGCATCACATAGAGGGAAGCTTGGGGAGCTGGGTTAAGCCACAGTTCTGTGGCTATGAGGCAGCAAACCATAGCAGGTCAGGGATGAGAGGCTGCTGCTAGGGGGAGTGAGAAGAAATGAGCTGTTGATGCCTCTTGGATTGGTACACTAGAATTGGGAAGAAGGCCTTCTTTTTAATTGTGGTGGAAACTAAGGAAGTCAGAGGATCTTGGAAGCCAATGGGAGGACTGGGATGGTTCTGTGCATCCCGCCCAGCTCCTAGGGCTATGGGAAAGGAGGGTCAGGTTGGCACTCAGGCAGAGACTGCTTCCTATCCTGCTGTCCCCCTTAGTTTCCAGGCCCAACCTCTTACTATCTATGGCTTATAGCATGGTGGGACCCTCTCAGAGTTCTCAGCAGGACAAGTGTTGCCAACCTTTGCTGGTGGGAAGTTACCTTAGTTAGGACAGAGCACAGGAGACTCAGAGATGTCAATAGGCAGTGGCTCCCTCCCAGGACCTGAGCTGCTTCATAAGAATACAATGTTATTGCTTCTTCCTGCTGCCTACACCTGTCCCTCCTCTATCCCCAGGCATCCCTTCCTGCAGCTGTCATTCATCATGAGAGGTAACTTCACTTTAAGGACTGCTCATCAGGCTGCAGACCCTCAGGAAGGGGGCGGAAGAATGTCAGATGGCTCGCATAGCCTGGAAGGAGGGGAAGGACACAGGGAACAGAGTCTATGTGTGGGAAGTGTCTTTTTAGACCCTCTGGCTCTTTTTTTTTTTTTTTTTCCAGAGGAGAAAGTACAGCTCACCCTGCTCCTCTCTCCCACCATCAGGCCTCGAGAGGTCCTGAGTATAGGGAGAGACCAGATAGGGGAGCAAGCTTAAGGCTTGGGCCTAGGTAGGAAACAGGAACATTAACACAGTGTCCTCAGAGAGGGATTTTTTTTCCTACTACCAGTGGGAAAAGACTGCACAGAACCATTCACACTTCTTTACCTTGTCCAAGCAAGGAAATGTGGTTTTTGGTGGGGGAGGGAGTGGATTCTGCCAAATCAGCATCTGGACTGGCACCTAATGAAGAGCTAGGCCCCAGAGAGGGCTGCTTAGGGCCTGAGCCCCTGTGCCCTGACTCTCTGTCCCTCTCCTACCACTTAAAGAGCAGCTGAGGTACACACTGAACCTGGAGATGGGGACATGCAGAGGGAGCCAATAACTGACTCAAGAGAATAATCTAGATGTGGTTTGGTGAAGGCCAGGAGGGGGACACAACTTGGGAATTTCAAAGGAGAAAAAGGTCACATCCACTGGGTACTCAGGGTGGGCTTCCCAGAGGGGGCCACATCAAGTTGGCCTTTCCAAGGCTGCTGGTGGTCAGCCTCAGGGCTCTGGCTCTTTAAGGTGTTGGTAAGGAAATAAGAATAAGAGGGATCTGAATAAATCTGGGTCTGATTTACAACTGCCTACACAGAATTATGCCATCCACTTGGAGGCAATTTTTAAGTTAAAATGTTGTCAGAGGGTTGTCACAGTTTTGATCTTTCTTCTCTGTTCTTTTTCAACCCACCCACATTTTCCAGATTGGTTGAAAGGGAAGAAAGGGGGATAGTGCCTTGGTTTAGATTCAGGGATTTTTAGAATTAAAGGTAGATGAAACTTTCAGAAACTGGGTTTTCTCTTAGCAAACTTTAATCTCAGAACCGAATGTCACAGCTTTTCTATCACTACCAGAACTATTAGGAGTGCTGAAGAGAGCAGGCGGGGATCCTGCAGTTATACCCAGGCTATCTCCTGGGGTTTCAGCGTCTCCTTTCTTCTGCCTAGTTCTCAAATGCCAAATAATCCCACCACTTGCTCCTATTTGGACCTTCTAGACACCAGAATTATCAACTAAATACATCTCTTTATAACATAACTGGCCTTAGTTATTTTGATATAGCAGCACAAAATGTGAACAGAGAAGATCACTGGCCTGGTCTATAAGGGGCTTAGTTTCCTGGTGGGCACTTGAGGACCCTCCCAAGCACTTGGAAGGCACAAAGCCAGTAAGGACGGCTCACCCGTGGGGCAGAATTGTAAGTCTTGGGTTCCTGGAAGCCCAGAGCAGGCATGGGAAGTGACAAAATGGTTCTTTTATTTTTTATTTTTAAGTCACCATCTTAATCCAGTTTCAGACTATATGTGGGAAGTGGTCGATTGGTGTGATTACAAAGAAGGCCTGAGTCTCTTATCAACGGAAACTATTCCAAGGCCTGAAATTCATCCTGGGTGACATCAGTGTTAATCTAGGTGAAATGCATTTGCTGTCTGGTGGGAGTAGCACTGGGCAGAGAAACCTGAGGAGTGAAACATAGGGTAGAGAAGGTCACACATGAAACACAGCCTTAAGCAGACTTTGCTAATTTTACAAAATGCTGTTTCCCAGTGAATGACCAGAGGGTTCTCACTGCCTCCTCTGTCCTACCCCATACTTCCTGCTGCTATTCCTCACTTCCCTAATCCCACTGATGGACTACCCTTTCCTTATCCCAAATCCTATCTATTGAATTCTCTTAATTCTTCTTTCCAAACACCTTTGAAACCTGTTCCATCCTCTCTAACCCTTGGTAAACCCCAGACCCATGTCATGGTCTAGCTGAGGCCTCATCATTTTTATCC